ATATATATATATGTGTGTGTGTGTGTGTGTGTGTGTGTGTGTGTGTGTGTGTTTATATATATAGACACACACACATATATACACATATGTATGTATGTATGTATGTGTGTGTGTGTGCGTGTGTGTGTGTGTGTGTGTGTATAACTTAAATGGATTTGGAGGTCCAATTGAGACATATGAAAAATCGGGAGTCTAATTATATATATATATATGTGTGTGTGTGTGTGTGTGTGTGTGTGTGTGTGTGTGTGTTTATATATATAGACACACACACATATATACACATATGTATGTATGTATGTATGTGTGTGTGTGTGCGTGTGTGTGTGTGTGTGTGTGTATAACTTAAATGGATTTGGAGGTCCAATTGAGACATATGAAAAATCGGGAGTCTAATATAGAATTAACAAAGATTTGGGGGTCTAACACGATGAAAACCTTATAAAAAAGGGTAAGACATAGGAGAGATTTACTATGTCGTAATGATTAAAAATTATGAAAAAGATTAAAAAAACTTTATTAAGAAAAATGCAAATCTAAATGTACACTATGTAGATGCTACTTTTCGATAAATAATTGTTATGCAACAGAAGGTATAATTTTAGCCCTAACTTATATCCAAAGCGATGTTATACTACCTCCATATCCAGGTTCCAAAGCATGCTAGTACAAAGAGAGAGACATGCATAATCACCAGAAACAAGCATAATAAGTACATGAAATGCTTGGAATGCGATGGATTACATAAAAGTCAATACATACTGTTGCAGCGTCCCTATAATAAAGCACTCGATAGGACAAAAGTTGAGCATTGATCGGTTGCATAGCTTCCAACAGGAGATTATTGATGTTAGTAGCATCCTTTCCCATTTCCACCTAGTGATATTGCAAGGGGATGGGCATTTAATAACAAAAAGCAGTTTAATTCTTGTATGTCTGAAAGTATTTTTTTTTCTTTTACCTACCTCAATCACTTCAATTGTCCTATTGTGCACATAAGGGCTGACATCATGATCAGTTTCATTACGATACTCCAAAGTTGAAATGTATAGGTTATCGATGACATTCTGAATCACCTGCTGTTTTGCTGAGAAAACAGGGTTATGGTAAGGAGGTCTTAAAGAATTTCAGCAAGCATTGCAAAAGAAACTGTGCTTACATCCTGGTGTAGCTGTCAAAGCCAAAATTCTGAACCGCACAGGAACAGCCATCAACTGCAGTTAGGAAAATTTCAAAAAGCAACACATAAATTTATAAACAAACATCCCAAAACAGGAATAGCAGTAGTGGTGGTAGTAGTACTAATAATAATAATAATTCATTCACTTTCTTTCCAACATCGTAAAAGGAAGAAACAATTTGAATTCCTTTAAATTCAGTCAGTGGAGAGGTTATTACACTAAAACATAAAGCTGATATCTCAAAAATAACAAATGTCCTATTGTAGTCGTAACTGAGATCAAGAGACATGCCTCACGAACTGCAACACAGTATGAATAGTTTCCGGTAGCTCGATGAGCTTCATCAATGACCAAGCAAACAATTTGTTTCACTAAGCATATGCCTGCAGGAGAACAGGTATAAATGGTATCAACCACAAAAGAGGAAGGGGGGTTGGGGGTGGGGGGAGGTTCAGTTTGGATGATTAAACAAAAAGTAAGAAATGAACTCAAGCGTTCAATATTAAAGAGAGAAGCTGGCAATATTCAGCAAGACATCAAATTTTCAATCTAGCAAGCACGTTAAATGTCAATAGTTTCCAAATTGAGGTGAATTTATCACGTCTAAGATGGTATACTGCTGCAGACCATCATAATAGTTCAAGCGCAGAACAAGTGTGCTTAAATTTTAAATAGTTTTCAACTGTATGATTGTACCACTGAATACGACACAGACATTTCATTTGATATTTGTTAGGAGGGCAAACAGGAACAGTTATTTATTTCAGCAGCTGTATGACGTGTGGTATGTGCACTTCCAAAATGAGTTAGATCAGATGCAGCAACCATACACTGGATAGTTCTAAAGTACAGCATCACTTGTTCATTAATATTGACATATTATTATCTATACTATGTAATGTGATTGAAAAAACTTTTATATCCAGATTATAATCAATATATTATCAACATAGGACACTGTCCATTATTTTATAGATAGTATGCATTTCTTTTTTTATGTTTTTGTACAGTTCGACTCAATTATTACTTTGTAAAATTTAATATGTGATTAACTATTATGGTGAAAAGGAAATTTAAGGAAGAAATTTTAGAAGAAAGTTCCAGGAATGAATATGACTTCATGTATACAGTTGAAATCACAATGATAGCAAATAGGATTGACAACAGGAAAACTTCAATTGTGTTTATAGAACCTGCGGAATGTTTTTGCACAAGGTTTCAAGAATTAATGGGTGTCAATTCAGAAAAATAGAACTAACGCAACAATGTTAAATTTATGAAATATATAACTTTAGAATTAAGAATGAGAATGAGTTCTTTAGTCACCCGAGTACTTCAAATCGGAAGCCCTACCCATAACCGACCCACACTAGTACCCTTACCGAAACTTCTTGTTTCTTGAAGATATGCATATGTTTATTCAGGCATATACTCAATTATGTAATACATTTTCTAATTTAAAACAATACTCATACATTTTTTGGACGTACACTCTACACTCACATCTATTTCTTACAAATTGATCTTATGTAAATGAAAAAACAATATTGATGTTATGTAAATTATTAATTTTAATACATATAAATACACATGGCATGCATATATATAGCCGTGTCCCTGTACCCTACCTTTTACAAATTTGCCGTGTACCGTACCCGTACCAGTACCGGTACCCATAGGGCCACACCCGTGCAACTTAGTTCTTCTGATCAATATATCCCTCATCAGTGGCATGTATGCAATTTTTAAAAAAAATGATATCAGCAAGGTTCAAATATTTGATGTGGGGAAAAAAATAAAGAACCTGCAGGTTGCTTACAAACTGTATTACAGGTGATGTTCTTTTTCTTCTGTGATAATGTTTCTGTTTTATTTTATCTTAGTGCAGGAGACAACATTTATCTGATGTTGAAAGACGTATTCACCAGAAATATTGATCTCTAAAACACAACCACCTTTATCTTTTACCGAAGTCAGTCCAGATTTTAACAGGATTTGAGTTACTTATGTCACTTACCATGGTATGCAGCACATCACACACTGCATGCTATCCAGGATTTGATGTGTGCAACTACTAAACCACAATTATATCTACCAACCAATGACCCCTTTCAGAAAAAAAGGGGGAAATGCAAAGAGGCCCTAGTGACCCCTATTGTTGAACATGACAACAAGAAAAGGCAGAACAGGCCAAAGCAAACTGGTCAAAGAGCCTTGTGGGAACTATGCATGAATTGGAATCTCTTTTGAACTGTATAGAACTGAATCATTTGCTTACAGGTAGCAAGTACGCACTTAGTGCCATGTTTGGGTGTTTGAATCGCTGAGATGAAACGAAACCATTATGTGCAGGACATGTATCGTTTCCACTTAAATGCAAATAAAAAAGCAATCAAATGCCTGAAAGAAAGCTTATTCAGACACACCCAAGCAGTTGTTGGTTATGAGCAATCAAACTACAGCACGTCACCCAGTACATATGGCTACAGTGCACATGCATTTCAATTCCTAGGGAAAATTTATTGACATATAGAATACAAGATTGGTTTTTTAATGCTTACAGCCTTATAGGTTTTGATATTTGAAAGGTTTTTTGGTATACTTTCTAGAGAAGCGACAATATGTAAAAAAGCATTACAAAGCTTTATATAGCAGCATTGATCTCTAAATTCCTGGGCAACAGATACATACTAAGCACTTTGAGTCCCTAAAACATGACTCTTAAATCTACTTCGTTCTACATTACACAATCTTGGTACTTTACATTCTAATCTAATTCCAGAATCCGTAGAGTACCACTAACTTTTCTAGGGTTTGTAAATGCATGACTGTAAATCACACAACGAACATCCGGATGAATGCATGCACATGTATACACAGCACCCTATGTGCATCACATCACAATCTATTTATTACCAGATTGAATGTCTTTCTCAAGCACCTGCGGGGTCACAAAAAAAACTCTTCTAGTCTTCCAAAAGCTCAAACGTTTCAGAGGGCTCATCTGACCTGTCATATCAATTGCCCTGTCCTGCAATCAGTTTGATGTCATTCTTTACAAAGTAGTCGTAAGAAAATAAATGATAACCGCAGGAAGAATAGATACTCCCAATACGTGAGTGTTCTGACAATTCAATGTTTGTGTATAATTGAAGTGCATAGAAGAACAGATACTTTCAATACCTGAGGTATTCCAACGATGTTATGGCATGCTTCAATTTGTTGCATGACTAAAGGCCGTGAAGGAGCAGTAAAAACAATTTTACCTGGAAATTTTCCAATATACATTCTAAAGTCAAATTATTCAGAATTTACATCACAGCATTTGAGTGCCATCAAATTTGACAGAAACATGGTGCACCCCACTTGACCAGTGACAGTGGAGATTTGAATAAAACTGAGACAACCATATGGAATCATCCAGTTGTGCAAGAGAAGCAGAAGCAATATAATCTTAAAGGAATATGCAAAAATATGGCCCTTAAGATGTGGCATCATCTGTGCTATAGGGTGTACTTGTAGCATGATTTCTCCCTTTATCCCTACAAAAAGAGATATAATGTATGTTGTACTTTGTTTTCAAGGAAATTTTGGGGAGGCCCATCTCAACCTATTCTACTTGAACAAAAAAGGTAGGAATAGCACATAACTCCAACATTCTTACCACAAAAATTGCATAAGCGGAACTCAGTCTCAGCTATATGATTGTTACTTTTAGTGTTAAGTACGTAGTTTATTATGTTGAAAGGATTTCAAGTCAGAAATAGTTTGCACAATACTAAGCATGAAAATCGTTCAACATGTTTGTCGCTTGGAAGTAAAAAATTTTAAGCATTTGAAAAATAATATAGCTTTACTCTATCAAAATTTTCAATGAAACAACTTGCTTTACATATGAATGTCTTATGCAAGATATAAATCTAGAAGATGAGTTGAGCAATTAAGCGTACTTCTCTATGAGACAAAAAAGTGAATCCAACAAAAGCTTAAACCCTATGCACATGAAGGGGGGAAAATACCTTCGGGGAACCATCTAAAGTAGTTATACATCACAACCGCAGCAATAAGGGTTTTACCAAGGCCTGTTGGTAATGCCACAAGTGTATTTGAAAAGAGAGCAACTTTAGCAATAGCGAATTGATAATCACGGACAGGAACATTAACTGCAGAAAAAAACAAAAGGAAGAAAGTAAAGTAAATGTAAGAACTTTCACAGCAAATACAAATCAAAATTTAACAAATATCATTTCCTATTTTTTATAATCAACCGCATTGGTATAAACACTGGTTCTAAGTATGAACTCAAAGTTTGTATATTTACTGATAATCTAAGAGATGAAAAGTTATACAAAAGGTTTGATGGTAGAATACAAATCTTTAGTAAGAACCAGAGGAACTAAATGGCACTTCCTTTGGTGCAATGCAGTACTTCTCTGTCGATCATATGCATCGGATATGTCATATGCAAAGTTTCTCAACCAGAAAGTAGGTAAAAAATGTATTTGCTGAAATGCACTAAAAATACAGGATTCCTGACAGAATAGACGGCACTATGACCACTTCTCATGGTAAACAGTTTTGGATGATAACAAAGGAAATGTTACCCACTAAATAAAAAAAGAATACATTATCCAATTATACGATTGTATTTCTACGCTCCATGAAGTACTTTCACCTTAAGAAAAAAGAAAAGTTACCATTTTATACAATTGTTTTCGCTTATAGTACCACAAGGTAATGTACTGATTTGACATACCATTTCATAGATTTGCATTTAGGGGTTCACTAAACTGGGAATTTCCCCACCTCATATGGGGACAAAACTAACTGTATCCTGTACCAATTGCGTGCTTAAGTTACAACCGTAGATTATCAATTTTCCTGTAGATTATGATTTTCCCTAAATGTCAAGGAGAACATCAAAACAGTCATTATTCTTGTTGATGCAACTTGCTTGTACATGATACATGAGGTGAGATAAATTCATTGATATATTGCTAATTGTTCAGGATCAACTTGTACGGATGTCAATCCCTCCATGTACGATCCATCGATGACTTTAACAGCAGTTAGACAAGCAAGCCTGCATATGCAATCTAAATTCAAAATCAGAAAGGCAAAAGAAAATACAAAAACTTCCACGTCTTATGTTATGCGAAGAGAACACGTGGAGGACAGGCCATTCTCTGAGCTGTCAATGGAATCAAATAAACAATTTTATATCATGAAATGTTATTACAGACAACTAGTATGCCTTCTCTCGGGCCTTCTGAACTTCCTAGACAAATCAGCACCTCACTAGTCAACATTTAGCTTTGATATAAACTTATCCATTGTATTTATAAGTTTAGATTAAGTTTATCTGGAAGCATCATGTGAAGAATACATAAACGCCAATTCTTTGTACTGTATATTAGAATGTTCTGTGCCAAGCTTCAAAAGAACTTATTGCTATCAAGAAATGTTAGTATATTCTACAGTTAATCAAATTATGTATGAGGTGCCTTCGGGCTCCGTACAATATTCTTGAATCTTAACATGCATCGGACAATTACTATTCCCCAGATACCAATCTAATTAGCCAATATGATAAGTTACAACTCACCCATCCTTATCTCTTCTAACATCCTCGGAAAATTTGAAACAGAAGAATGTCAGGCCTTATAACCTTAATGCTTCTAGACATCAGAAATCTAAAACAAAAGAATGTCACACATTATTGCCTAAACATTCATAAGTTTCTAGACCTGTCACCACCATATTATATCAAAATTAACTCATGTAACATCGTCAATTGCCACAACTTCTATTACGTCATCAAGTGAGGTCAGCTTACAAGGTACCTCTTAACAGAGTTTCTGCATATGAAACTTTGAATCTTCCTATTTATAGTGGATATACAAGAATTTTCCAATAAGTATGCAATTGTATACCAACGCAATATTATTATGCAACAAATCAATCACATAGTGTACTAGCAGCTCCTGGAAACTAGTTGCATTTAGTGTGTACAGCAAGAGGACCGATTAGAATTGCAAAGATAATAATTCTCTCCTTCAGGAACCACCTTTGCAAGAGTTTCATTTCTCCCATATGAAAACTTCTTTCTCTATTCGTGAGAGTTTAGAAACACAATATTATCTTTAGACTGGATTATGCCCATGGAAGACATCTCATTAAACAATTAAACAGTGCATCGTGTTAATCCTACTGCACTATCATCTATTTGTACAAATTTTTTTTTAACTACCCAAGGCTTTGAGACATTTCGAAATCAGGAAATCTCTACCAGAGCAGGTGCTATCATAGAACAATTAGCCAATTTAGATTTGCAAATTGTTCTAGATAATTAATTCGTAGAATGGAAGGAATTCGGAGATGAAGAGCCCATTGCAAACGAATGGCAAGATAGAAAATTTCCAAGAAGAAAGGATTTTTTGGTTAGACGCATGGAATTAGCTACTCTTTGCTATGTCTCAAATAGAGAAAAGCTGAAAACTTGGCATCAAAGAATGGAAATTTACGTGGATAATGCCAAGTCTGTGCAGCTTCAAGATCAATGCAAACATCAGATTCTCCGCCTTCAGCTCCAGGATTATCGTAACCCTCGCAGTCCAATACTGGGGTCTTATTAATACAAGGCCTGCTGCTCTGAGTGCTCCCACTCTTTCGCTTCCGAAAGGCCTCCACAAATTTATCGAGATTCGGCTGATATCCTTTCCCTTTAGGGTTATGTCTTGGTGCTCTAGGGC